CCAAGTATTAAGAAAAAGGAAACTGAAGCCTTATAACCAACACAGATAAGACAACTCCAAGCGATGTGGAACACATTTCAACACACCCTCCTAGACCACAATATACAGTAGTCGGACAAACGGCACACCAGTCATAAGCCCAACTAAGCTTTGATATAAAATTGAAAAGCACAACCCACACTTCTCTTTAAAATCCAAGTATTAACAGAGGAAAATTAAAGCCTTATAACCAGTACAGATGGGGCAACTCTAGGCGATGTGTGCTTCTGTGCTTTGAGGACTTTTTAAGTTCGAAGATGAATTTGGGGAATACAACCTTACTCTGGTCAGGGAGGTGCCTCATGTTGCAACCTTGGCTGACATCCTAGGTTGTAAGGTGGAGCATTGACCTCTTATCTAAGACTTCCTTCAGGTGCCACTTTTAAAGCAAAATCAGTGTGGGATTCTATGGTTCAGAGATTTCAGAGGCAATTGGCAAGATAGAAGAGTCTATATCTATCAATTTAAAGATGATAGAATGACATTGAATCAAAGCATCTTGTCCAGTCTTCTCAAGTATGTTATGTCCTTATTCACTATCTTAGCTTTAGTTGTGAAAAGGTTGGAGAAATAGCAACATGACTTCCTTTAAGGAGGTATAGAAGAGGAATTTAAGTATCATTTGGTAGATTGTTAGACTGTGTACCACCTAGAGAGAAGAGGGTGTACGTATTCGCAAACTTAACCAAGATGCTTGTGATTTAATCATTGATGTAATTAGAGAAAGGGACAACAACATCATATAACTTACATTACCTTCAATAACTGAAATCGAGAAGAATAAGCTTCTTGCTATCTCATGGTCATTCATCACCATCCTTTTGTACAAGGAGTTGCAATAAAAGTCATGTAAAAAGTGAATTTGTCACCATCAACAATGCAACTAGGTGGTGATGGTGTAAAACTCAATAAGCATTTTCAAATGATCCTATACTTGAATTGTAATACCATGACATGACATACATAAACAGTGAGATAGTTAATGCAAACCTTTTGAGCCCACAGTGTAAGAAAAGTAAGACATAATAAGGTCCAATTATAAACCTCAAGATTCATGTCCATTCTGATAATCCGTAGTATCAATCTGTGCACAGTTCATAACTCTTCCTGAAACAAGAGTACCCATGAAGCCATATTAGCTATTAACTACACAATATTAAATGGGAAAAAAATATAATTTGTAATCCCCGTAATTTCACTGAATTTCAGAATTTTATACAGGTATTCTCAGATGAAGTAGCATACTCAACATTATCCATTTAGTTTCAGTGTATCATAACGCCAAAATTCAACTCTTAACTATTCAAGTCAGTCGAGTTCCAATATTTTTGCACGCCTTAGTCGTCTCAATATACTAACTCTACTCACATGAACACCTAAAAAATCATCTTTCTTGCTTTTCTTTCCAGCTTCCGTAGAATTATCACTTGCGAAGAGTAGATTTGTTAAGGACATCTTTAACTCTTTCACAGCCTTTTGTCTCAAAATTCTGACGTAAACCTTGTGACTGTAGATTTGTTCCCAAAAGGCGGCCAAAATAGTAAAGAGGATCAACATAAGAACTTGAGGAAGACACAATACCTTTCAAGTTGGTTGGCTGGACAAGCTTAACAAACTCCTTTATCTCAGCAAAGCATGAATGATCAGAATATGGAACTGTATATATGTATTCATGATAACTTTCCACCGCTTTTGAATTATCATTAGGTTTATGCACATCCGAGTGGCTCCCAACTTTTGTACTCAATTTGCTTCTGCTATGGTGAGGAGACGAACCAAAAACAATGGTGTTCCCTTCAAGGGGTTTCCATGGAAGACCAGATGGCATAATCCCTATAGTTGGACGCATCATATTTAACCCCTCCAGTGTGTTGATACTAAAACTGTAGCAAGGGACAGCTCACAAGCTAGTTAGAGAAACTTTAGTTGTGAAGATGTCGTGGAACCCAAGAAGATAAATAATTTGCAGGCATTCTGGCCAGACCCAAATCTTTAAAGAACAAAACAAGAAAATATAAGGAACTACCAGTGATAGCTCATAAGATTACTTATATACATATAAGAAGGATAAAAATGATATTATTTCCTTTCTACCACACTAAACTTCTTTTTCGGTGAAAAAATGAATATACAAGTCTTCATGACTATGCACATTATTACAAACCAGAAAAGAAACATTAAATTTAAAATGCGGTAGGCTGCATCCTGTATGACATCACATGACACAAGGGAGTGCAAAAGAATCACTAATTTTTAGTCTAAGCTACCAGGACTGTAGGCTTACATGTAGTGTGCAAAAATAGTCAAACAGATGAAAGTATGAACTCTCCAGATTACAGTATTTATGTAACCTACACCGTATAGAAATAGAAAGCATGCAGAACAGAGGGAAAAAAAACGAGTAGGTACTGTAACCTATACCATATAGAAATAGAAAGCATGCAGAGCAGAGGAAAAAAATGAGTAGGTCAATTAGTTCCAATCTTGAACTAATATTATAAATTTGATCGCCACTTCATTAAGGAGAAACTCACTAGTGGTATCATTTGTACTCCCTTTGTCCAGTCTGGTGAACAACTTGCTGACATTCTCACCAAGGGGATTGGGAATAAACCATTTCATGACATATTAGGCAAGCTGGGCATGAGAGATATCTTCGCACCAGCTTGAGGGGGAGTGTTAGCATATTATATTAGCCGAAAGGTTCACTAGGGTCTGTCTGTAATCATGTTATGCACTCAGGGATAGCACTCAGGGATCATCTTGTAATTGCATTTCTTGTAAACCATAAATCTTCATTTATAAATAGGGGGTGATATTCTATCATTCCTTAAGCTGGTTACCCAAGCTTCACTCTCCAGATTATAGTATTTATGTAACCTACACCGTATAGAAATAGAAAGCATGCAGAACAGAGGGAAAAAAAATGAGTAGGTACTGTAACCTATACCATATAGAAATAGAGAGCATGCAGAACAGAGGAAAAAAATTAGTAGGTCAATTAGTTCCAATCTTGAACTAATATTATAAATTATGGTATTTCTTCAGTAGCGGTAGACTAATTTTCTGAGATAGCTCTATTTTCCCCAAAACTTATATTATAAATAAATAAATAACCAACAAAGTTGATGTGAAGAGCATCTGGGTTTGTTCACATTATTAAAACTAAAAGCAAGTTTGGGTGGCCATTCTACTGTATACGCACCGCAAAGATTACACTTTGCATAGAGACAACCCTAGTTGACACTTTTCCTTTCAGTAAAGAGTGAGCACACCTTTATTTTCAGTGCTTGTGCAATGTGAAGAAAAAGATCTTTTCCCAAAGAGTCTATACCGATAATGATGTCATGTTCAGGATGAGAGGCAATCACATCAACAACCTGTAACTAGTCATTAAAAAGCAAATGAATAATTTCCATATACATAATCACAAAATGAAGTTCAGCAGCGGATAAAACCAAAGCTCCATTCAAAACATGAAACTTATGTTTGAAACTATTATTCACAATTGGAAAAACCAAAGCTCCATTCAAAACATGAAACTTATGTTTGAAACTATTATTCACAATTGGAAATTCAAGAAACAAGTAAATAGACATGCTAATAATTTTTTTTCATCCACATATTGTTCGAATAGAGAGAACTCAGAACATATTGTGCCCATTTCTAAGATTTTTGACATTTTTACTTTAGTCTGATGAAATCATGATGAAAAGTTGAAACTAATTTAATTAAAGTACTTACAAAAATTTTCTTTCAACAATTAAATATCCAATAAATTTAGTTTTTTTTTTTTTCTTTCCATATTGATCATGTACCAACAACACATTTCTATTAGCATTATATACATTTTTTACATTCTATCCTGCTAAAACTCCACTCTCCTTAGATTTAAGTTTATTATATTTGACTCTTTTTTCTCTCAAGGAAATTTTAAAGAAAACATATTGGAAAAATTGCTTAATTCATCTTTTTGGAATGAAATTGTACCACATTTTAGAACGTGCGTTCTAAAACGTACATCACTAAGGTATCGGCATTTTTTGGTGACACTGCTCCTAGTCATATGGTGCTAGCTAGTGTCACATGTCAGAGTGGATCAACAGCATAAACATCTCTTTAATGTCTAAAATGCCTAAAATTGAAGCCAAAATTCTAGATTGCCTCACCTAGCCGGACCAAGATCTCTAGGTTGCCTCACTCGCTTGGTCAAGATCTCCCTAAGCGATCACCATAAACCCATCTCAAAATTGTGAATTCCATGACTTCTCCAACATGTCTAAGGTCTCAAAACAAGCTACCCAGGTTGGGAGTAGAGCCAAGGATCTTTGCACAAGATCATTGAAGGATCGTGGCTTGGAGACTAGAATCAATGGACTGTTAAGGGTCCTTTACCCTACTGATTGTGGTGCTCCCTTAACCAGCCTTAATAGACAGAATTGTTAACTGATCAAAGACATATGAATCTAAGAAGCACAAACACAGACAAGCATGGATATGACACGGACACACCAACTCGGCAATTTTCAAAAAATACAGGACACAACATGTCAAAGACACGCACAAAATATATAATTTTATATATTTATTATATGTTATATATATGAATATATCATTGAAAAATATTAGAAAAAAAATGCGATATAATACTAATTTCAATAAATTTGCATTATTTTTCTTTTATCTTGTATCCTAAGTTATTTTGTTCAAATTTATAATTAGTTTCACATTTCTAACCAATGGACATGTGTGTTTAAGGGATGGACACGTGTGTTCTCCAAGTGTCGAAGAGTGTCCACATCTAAAAAAATTTTAAAAAAATAGTACATGTGTTGACAAGTGTCGGACATGTGTTAAGATGTGTCAGACAAGTGCCAGTGTCCAACATGGGCACGTTAGCTTCTTAGAAGTGTCCGCGCTTCTTAATATATGATACTCTAATACCTCTACGATGCCTTGACATACTAAGGTGAGGAACTACCCTGCACTATTGGCTAAAGAAGGTTGAGGGACATAGATCCCCCATGTCACGGGATCCCTTGTCAAGAGATCCCAAGACAAGCATCTTAGGGCAAGAGATCCCCAATTGTCGCACCAAGGGGACCAGGCCACCTATCCTCCCTCAATTGACCTCAACAACCTAAACTCCCTATAAAAGGAGATGTCATGCATATAAGACAAATCAACACTTCTCTGCAACATAAGCTCAAAGCTCTCTCCAATACCATTTTCTATCTCCTCTTCTAGGGCTTCCCTTGGCTCTCTCCTTCACCTTGGATATTTTTTTACTTTATTTAACAATAACAAACGACATTAGGAATTATTTAGAGATTCTCACATCAAAAACATGTTAGACAAAACTAGTTAATATGAGCCTTACTAAAATTTTGGTTAAAAAATAAATCTTAACAAATAAGTTAGGAGCTTCCAATAGTAATCAGGGTAGTAGTTTAATTCTACTACATAAATTTAACTACAAAACTTCCACAAGAGAAGTAAACATGCACCTGTCGAGCAGCAACTTCTCGAGAAGGAAAAGAATATGATGGATTACAATAAGTATTGTCCAAGTAAAGAATGTCAACTTTATCATTCCCAAGAGCACTAAGAAGCATGCTCCTTCCAATCTCTGCCCTCTTACTAGTTGTTTCCCAACGAAAATCCCCTGTATAAAGCATGCACCCAAACTCACCACGAAACAAGTATATGACTGCGCCTATCAAGTTGAAAACCATGAACAACTTAATTATGAAGCCCTTTGTCATGACTATTTCCCACAAGAAAGAAAAAGATAGAAGAAATAAAAATCCTTTAGCATCACAACTCAACCTAACATAACTGATAACAAAGAACATCTATTTTGTATATCTCTAATAATCATTGAGTACAATATATATAACCTAAATGAAATAAACCCTAATAATCTACTAGACGAAACTACCCTAAATAACGGACAGAAAATACAATAATCTTCACACCCCCCCTCAAACTGCGGATGCGAGCACAGAAAGCTTCGAAAGTTTGCCAAGAAGAAAACGAAAACGAGCAACAGTATGAGTCTTCCTAAAAAAATTGACCAACTGAAGAGAGGACAGAACAAAAGGAAGAGAAATTGTGCCATCCTGAAGATGTTGTCGAACAAAGTGACAATCGATTTCAACATGCTTGGTCCGCTCATGGAAGACTGAATTATGAGCAATCTGAACAGCACTCTGATTATCACAATACAACGAAGTCGGATCAGAAAGAGAGATGCCCATATGAGAGAGAAGCCAGCGAAGCCAAACTATCTCGGAAGTAGCATGAGCCATGGTACAATACTCAGCCTCAGCAGTGGAACGAGCTACAACAGACTGTTTCTTACTTTTCCAAGAGATGAGAGAATCACCGAGGAAAACACAAACACCTATGAAGCACGGATACTCCGAAATAGGTCACGTATGCGTATCGGATACGTATCAGATACGGATGCGCGCCCGATACGCGAGGATACGTATCGGATACGGGAAATGAAGTATCTGATTTTTTTTTTTAATTTTTGAATTTCGGATACGTCTCGGATACGCAAGGATACGGAATGGATACGATATGGATACGGCGGGGGCAAAAAAATAATTTAAAAAACTTAAAATGGGGTGAAATTGTAAAATATGAAAATAAAGATGAAATTAAACACAAAAAAATGAAAAATAACAAACCAAACTCTGGCTTACCCTGGAATTCGACGCAGCTGCGAAGGAGGAGGAGAAGCAACTCGCCGATCGTCTCGAACAGCTCGCTGATCGTCGCGAACAGTTCGCCGATCGTCGATCTCATCTCGATCAGGTTCTGTAAAACCCAAGTTGTGTGTAGGATTATTTTATTGGATAGATTAGTAATTAAATTAATTTATATGGGTCATTTATTAATATCAAAGAATTAGTTATGAGATGGCATTATATTTCCTATTACTTAGATGGGTAATTTTGTAACTTTGTGAAATTAGGTTAATAAGCCCACCTATTGTGGCTTTAAGTCTTGGAAAACAAACAAAACAGAGGCTATGAATTGCTCCATAGGCGGCTAGGGTTTGAGAAGGTAAAAGAAAAAAGAAAAGAAAAAGAGAAGAGAGGTTCAAGTGAGGCTACAATAGGGATTGAAGGCAGCACGTTGGTGATTTTGGGACACCCATTGGTTAAGGTAAAATCTGTCTTTACTATTAATTATTAAGTTTATGTTGAGGAATTTAACAATCAATGCATTAAGGAAATTTGGAAGATCTATAAGTGCCTACTTAGGTTTTGAGAATTGGGTGCAATGTGTAAGTGTAACTTTGGGTGGGTAATAGAAACAATGGAGTTTTGTATCATGGGTAAAGGTGTGTTTGGCTATAAAGTTGGGTTGAATGGTTTGATCTCTTGGACATTAAAGTAATACATTAATCTAATATAGTGGTGCTTTTGTGGGTGTTTGTAACATGTAAAAAAATATTAATTTATTTGCGGTGTAATATTGGATGAGGATGATGCATTATGGTTGTTATGGGTGATGTTATATTGTTAAAATTGTTGAAATTTAATTGAATCGATGAATTTTTTGTTATGGATGAGGATGATGCATTATGGTTGTTATGGGTGATGTTATATTGTTAAAATTGTTGAAATTTAATTGAATCGATGAATTTTTTGTTATGGATGAGGATGATGCATTATGGTTGTTATGGGTGATGTTATATTGTTAAAATTGTTGAAATTTAATTGAATCGATGAATTTTTTGTTATGGATGAGGATGATGCATTATGGTTGTTATGGGTGATGTTATATTGTTAAAATTGTTGAAATTTAATTGAATCGATGAATTTTTTGTTATGGATGAGGATGATGCATTATGGTTGTTATGGGTGATGTTATATTGTTAAAATTGTTGAAATTTAATTGAATCGATGAATTTTTTGTTATGGATGAGGATGATGCATTATGGTTGTTATGGGTGATGTTATATTGTTAAAATTGTTGAAATTTAATTGAATCGATGAATTTTTTGTTATGGATGAGGATGATGCATTATGGTTGTTATGGGTGATGTTATATTGTTAAAATTGTTGAAATTTAATTGAATCGATGAATTTTTTGTTATGGATGAGGATGATGCATTATGGTTGTTATGGGTGATGTTATATTGTTAAAATTGTTGAAATTTAATTGAATCGATGAATTTTTTGTTATGGATGAGGATGATGCATTATGGTTGTTATGGGTGATGTTATATTGTTAAAATTGTTGAAATTTAATTGAATCGATGAATTTTTTGTTATGGATGAGGATGATGCATTATGGTTGTTATGGGTGATGTTATATTGTTAAAATTGTTGAAATTTAATTGAATCGATGAATTTTTTGTTATGGATGAGGATGATGCATTATGGTTGTTATGGGTGATGTTATATTGTTAAAATTGTTGAAATTTAATTGAATCGATGAATTTTTTGTTATGGATGAGGATGATGCATTATGGTTGTTATGGGTGATGTTATATTGTTAAAATTGTTGAAATTTAATTGAATCGATGAATTTTTTGTTATGGATGAGGATGATGCATTATGGTTGTTATGGGTGATGTTATATTGTTAAAATTGTTGAAATTTAATTGAATCGATGAATTTTTTGTTATGGATGAGGATGATGCATTATGGTTGTTATGGGTGATGCTATATTAATGTTTTTTTTTTATTTGTTTACCATAAATTTTAGGAAATGAGTTCGGGTACGGGAAGTTTAGGTTCAACAAGTGGTACACCAATGGAAGAAGATGATCATGCTCCTCTTTGGTGTTATGTTACAAAACTAGAAAAATTGGGAGGAGGTGGTAATACTAGGTTTAAATGCAATTACTGTCAACAAGAGTACAGGGGGTCATACTTTAGGGTCAAGGCACATTTGTTAAAACTTTCTGGCAATGGGATTAGAGTGTGCCCCAAAGTGACTCCGCAACACCTTGCTGAAATGCAAAGGAAAATTGAAGAAGCTGAGAAGAGGTTAAAGATGGCTATGCCTAAAAAAGTTCCTTTACCACCTTCCACCCAATCTACTTCAACAAGTTCAGGGGCTTTAGATATTGGAGGATTTAGGATGGAGGGGTATGAGACAAGAAAAAGAAAGGCTACTGGAACTTCTGCTCTAGAAAAGGCATTCAACCCAGTTATTCGTGAACAACTACATTCTGAGATTGCTCGCATGTTTTATTTAGCGGGGTTACCTTTTCATTTATCAAGGAACCCATATTATGTTAGTGCATTTCAATTTGCTGCCAACAATCCAATTCCTGGTTATGTACCACCCGGTTATAACTTGTTGAGGACTACATTGCTTCAAAAGGAAAGGGCTAATGTAGAGAGGTTGTTGGAGCCAACTAGAGCATCATGGAAGGAAAAAGGGTTGAGTATTGTTTCAGATGGATGGACTGATTCTCAAAGAAGGCCCCTTATTAATTTTATGGGAGCATCAGAAGCTGGGGCAGTGTTCTTGAAAGCTGTTAATTGTGAAGGCGAGCATAAAGACAAGTTTTTTATTTCCAACTTAATTAGTCAAGCAATTGAAGAAGTTGGACATCAAAATGTCATTCAAGTCATTACAGATAATGCTCCCGTATGTAGTGCAGCTGGTTTACTCATTGAAAGTAAGTACCCGAATATCTTTTGGACACCATGTGTAGTTCACACATTGAATCTTGCTCTTAAGAACATTTGTGCTCCAAAGGAAACAGGGGGTACTGCTTTTGCTTATGATGAATGTCACTGGATCACACTTTGTGTTGATGATGTGACGTTTATCAAAAACTTCATCATGAGCCATTCCATGCGGCTAGCTATTTTCAATGAATTTGTACCCTTGAAGTTGCTTGCTATTACAGATACACGTTTCGCATCTGCCATTATTATGCTCAAAAGGTTTAAACTTACAAAGCGTGGCCTCCAATCAATGGTTATTAGTGACCAGTGGGTTTCTTACAAAGAAGACGATGTTGGGAAAGCCACATCTGTGAAGGAAAAATTATTGAATGATGTGTGGTGGGATAAGATTGATTATATTTTGACTTTTACATTGCCTATCTATGAGATGCTTAGGTTTTGTGACACTGACAAACCATGCCTTCACTTAGTCTATGAAATGTGGGACACCATGATTGAAAAGGTGAAGGCAAGCATCTTTAGGCATGAAGGGAAGCTAGATCATGAGGAATCAATCTTTTATTCCGTTGTGCACAATATACTAGTTGAGAGGTGGTCCAAAAGTAACACTCCTCTTCATTGCCTTGCACATTCTTTGAATCCAAGGTAATAGCTTAATTCATACTCTTACTAATTACATTTCTTTGTTGACATTTGTCTTTTAATATGAATAACATAATTTAATTTTAAAACTTTCTAATGTTGTAATCTAGGTATTATAGTTCAACGTGGCTTGATGAAAATCCCAATCGTGTCCCTCCTCATAGGGATGAAGAAATTTCAAGTATGAGAAACAAGTGCTTCAAGAAATACTTTCCAAATTTAGAGGAGAGACGGGTTGTAAATGTGGAATATGCCAAATTTTCAGGAGGTTTGGAGATTTTGACTCAAAGATTGATAGAGGAGTATTGGATCCACTTATTTGGTGGTTTACACATGGGTCTCCTGCTCCTATGCTTCAATCTTTAGCATTAAAATTGCTTGGCCACCCATGTTCCTCATCATGCTG